GGTCTTTCGATAGTCTTCGTTATTGTCACAATTCACAGGACTTCTGGACTGTAAAACCACCCGAAAGCGCCAAAGTCGCGGACGGGAATCGCCCACGGCCGTGGCGCTATCAGTCAGTTTCACCGTTCAGTCGTCCGTCCGACTAGATCTCGTAAGTATCTACATCGGGTGAATTGTTGTTTAGTACGTTATGCACAGTGGAGGGTCCTGTTATTGTCGTCGGTATATGCTCAAACATTGATGAAGACAGCCGTGCTTTCTACGCACGCCGTCTTCCCGATGTATGGGGAGGCATCGCGCGTAGAAGTTTTCAGCTGTTTTGGTGATGAAGTCTTTAATGAGTGGCATATTTGTCGTAGCGTGCATGTCTCGTATTCTAGTGTAGCGATCACACCCCAGAACTAGCCTGAGACATCTGTTTTGGGCATTTTGTAGTTTATTATAATGTAATTGGGCCATTGAGCAGAAAACCGGACAACCATATGTTAGAATCGGTCTAAAAACCATTTTATATAAAAGGATTTTGTTTGATAGGGTGACTCTACTCCGTCTATTCATTAGGGGGTAGAGGGTCCTAAGAATTCCGTAGTTTTTAGTCACCCTATCCAAAATGTGTGTTCGGAATGTTAGTCCCCTATCTAGCACGATTCCAAGATATTTAATTGCCGGCTTTGCTATTATTGGTAGATTTTGGACTCGAAGGGGCGTGTCTATCCCTTCGATCCGCCTCTTCGATATAAGCACCGTTTCTGTTTTGTTGGTGTTTAATTTTATTTTGTTATCGGCTAGATAGATGAATAGTGGTCCATTTATATGGTTGTCCAGTTTCCTGGTGGCTTCTTGCGCGGATTTATGACTTGCAAACACACAGATGTCGTCGGCGTACAATGCCGTTTGTACACCATTATCACCCATGGGTAAATCACAGGTCATAATCGTGTACAAATGCGGCGAAAGTACTGAGCCCTGGGGTACTCCCGCCATCGCTAGGAAAGGTCCTGTTATTGTGGAGTTTATCTTTATACAAAATTGTCTGTCCGTCAAGTATGACTGGATTATTTTCACAATGTGTACGGGAAAGTCATTCGCAAGCATTTTGTGTATTAAAACCCACGGGTCCATACGGAGTCAAAGGCCTTTTCACAATCTAAAGTGGCTAAAACTGTTTGAAGGTCGTTGTTAAACCCTTCTTTAGCGTGATGCGCGATTCGAAGTGCTTGGGCTACGGTACTATGTCCCTCTCTGAACCCGTATTGTTCCCGTGGGATAATTTGTTGTCGTTGTTCAATTTTCTTAAGTCTATTCAAAATTACAGTGTCGGTGATTTTAGCTATTGTGTTCAGTAAGGAAATGGGGCGGTAACTATCGATTTTATTGGCCGGTTTGCCTGGTTTTAAAATTGGGATAATATTTGCCATTTTCAAGCCACTGGGATAGTATTGTAGCTTGAAAATGGCATTAATTACGTGGTGGAGCTGCACGACAGCCTTTCTACACAGATTTTTAATTAGAATATTACTGATGTCGTCCGGTCCCGGAGCTTTTCTGTTTTTGAGACACTTAATTACTTTCAAACCGTGTGAGTACTCATTTCTCTCAAGATTCTCATCAGAAATGTCATACGTCAATGTGGAAACGCTGTTTTTAAAGGCCTCGAGGATTAAAATTCTTAGGAGGATATTAATTATCTCTAAATAAACCGTGAAAAACAATCAGTGAGTTTACACTGGCCCTTAGGACCCTAAAAATACTGTTTTACGTTGACGTATGACATTTCTCTCGAGAGAAATGAATTCTCTCGACTTTGAAAATAGCACCCCTGCTAAATAGCTGGTGGAGAAAATATACACCAGTGTACACCACACATCGCCGACAGGAAGGTATAGTGGGTTTTAAACGAAGGGTATGGGTGTGGGTTGGTGTAGTTCATTACTACACCCAACTACACCAGTGGGACGAACGAAAAGAACCTATTGTGTGCATGACAGCATGCACACCGACCTTTTTTTCACCCATGTCTGCTTAGAAATTTGGAGTAGGGCCAGGGCTGGTATATCTAAGGGGGTCGCGACAGACCCAGTAAATGGATGAGGGGGTGACTGAGGCTAGGGGGGAAATAGTAGTCAGCTTAAGTTGGCAACACTTTTCTGACGTTCGTTTGAACGAGCATCGTGCATAATAATGTCAATATGGTACAAGTGGAATGAACCACTGTTTTCCTCGTAGTCCCATGTCGAATTAAAACTAAAAACATTTTGTACTTTTTTATATACCAAATTATGCAATTTGTTTCCACTTTATTTTAATGTTACATGAATAGGTACATGCGTTTGTGCTGTGGTAAATAAGTGTTCATGTAAAAATTATCTCTTAAACTACATTGTGATTGCACTCGTCTCAAAACTGAATGCTGTAAATCCAGGATTTAAATCTTTCATAGTGTTGCTTGGGATAAATTGTAAAAAAGGTGTTGGACAAAACGTTTACAACCTAAAATTGCATGAAAAACATGATAGAAGAAGGAATTTTACCTTTATGACATTCTCTTTCAACATTTTTAAGTGACTTTGTGGTTTGGTGAATGGACTGTTACCACAGTCAAAAGATTCAAAGTAAAAAAAAAGTGACCAAGTTCTAATAAGAATACATAAATTGAATATGAAAATGTAATTACTTGATTTAAATGTGATTTAATTAAGAGTTAAATAGAGGTTTCATATAAACAAAGTGCTGTAAAATGTTAATAAATGCAAAACCATTATTAAAGAGAAATTAGTTATCATCAATAAGATATTTTGTAGTAGCTGGTCTCTATAAATAATAAACTTGAAAGACTGAATTAGTAGTCACTTTTACACTAGAAGTAAACACAAAAAAAATGTGTGGTTGAGACTAATTTATGTATTTAATAAAAACATATTTAACATAAAAGCATATGCTTCTATATGGTTAGTATTGGAGTAGAAGCACAAAAGTTTTGAATAAAAATATAGATACTGGAATATTTTGCTTGATTACTAAATTTTGGATGTTTTTGTTGTAGTCTGCTGTTAACACTATTGTCCTGAAATATTAAAAAAAGCTAGACAAAGGTTTGTCCAACTCTTTTGTCAGCTTTTGTTAATCTATGCTACTGTTATTCTGCATGCAGACATTTTTTACTGGAGATTTTCTCTAAGAACTGTATTCAGTTTCAAATTTCGGCCAGTTTTAGGAAAGTACCTCTGTTGTAAAGGTATTTCAAATCCATCCTTTGTAAGATGTAGACAACAAATACATGCTAAAATGTATAGAAAACAAATCGCAAGATATTACACAAAATTATTTAAATTAACTAAAAACATACAAATGAAGTGAATAATACCTACCAACAATTTAAAAATACCTAAAATAAATAGACTTAAGGGACTGGAGCTCTAAAAAAGGGAGCAATAATTTGTTATGCATCATCTATAAGAAAATTGTCTTCATCTCTTCAATTACCTTTTAAAATAAACAAAACTAAAACAGCACAAAATTGAAAGTGATCTACTTTTCCCGACGTATTTTATGTACATCTGAGATTAATAATTTATTAAATTGAAATATTTTATCCAAAAAAATATGGGCATTTTATAATGGAAATGTCATTTAAGAAATGACATTGATTTTTTTTCTTATATTGGTAAACCTGGCGACTACAAGTTGCCACGTTGCCAGATCAATGGCGACTACTATTTCGAAAAAAATGGCGTCCAAAATGGACTCCTATTGCTGCGTTTGAGAATCCACATCGGATGCATCTGAGATGTAAAAAATCTTTGATCACGTGATTCAGTATACGTAAATGTAATGGGACAGATGTGTCCGATGTGGATAAAAAAACGCTTCGAGATGTAAAAAATGCATCCGATGTGGATTCTCAAACGCAGCATATGTCGCGACCCCCTTAAGGCTGTATGTCACGATACTGAATTAAGTACTAAATTTAGAACTAAATTAATGCATTTTTTAAGTACTAAAAAAATTCACGTTGCAAACAGCAAATTTAGTACTAAATTTAGTACTAAAAAAAGTCATTAATTAATTAGATCTTGTTCTATTTTCTACTAAATTTAGTACTAAAAGTGCGCCGAAATGTTGCGCAGAAGTTTTTCATAGAAAAAGTTGACACGACGGTATTTTCTGTACCCTTTTATTTTTAATTAGCGACAATTTCACATTATCGCCTTGAATAAAGTTCGCCTGTTTGATTTTGTAGGTTTTATTGTGTTTTTCCGTGGTTTTTATGCTGTATTTGGTTGTCAAGTCAACTAGTATCAAATTGATAATAAAAACACCATTTACTTCACTTGTCTGTTTTACACAGAATATTTCATTTCTCTACTAATTTCACGTATTAATACGTCAATGCGCGTGCGCCCATAGTAAATTTAGTACTAAAAATTGGTATCGTTGCAAACGAAAAAAAAATATTTTTAGTTCTAAATTTAGTACTAAATTAATGACTTAATTTAGTGCTAAATTTAGTACTTAATTTAGTATCGTGACATACAGCCTTTAGATATACCAGCCCTGGAGTAGGGCAAAGTATATTACTCTTTGAGTAGGGTTTATGTCATCCAGTTTAATATGAAGGTCGGTGCATTAATCAGAATCGGTTTAGCAAAAATGTATTTTAAAACTAATTTTCAGCCATCAGATATAATAAAAAAATAATTACCTACATTTTTACTGCAAGACGTGTGTCTTTTTTCCGACCGGTTTGTTGCAACCGTTGTTTCACCGATGCGGCCTTGAACGTTTTGTGTTGGATTCTGGTTGACCGTTGAAATAAATAACAGTTGACATACCGCACCGATGCCAACGTTGCTGCAACAGTTGGATAAAAAGACACACGTTATGCGTAAGCTTGATGTTTATTTTAAAAACATGGATGATCAATCTATAGATTTATCTATATCATTGCCCCTGTCAAATCCACTTTCTGTTCGTTCTGTCACAGTCACAGAATTCTGTGGTTCTGTGCTTTGCTTATGGCGGTTGTGGATAGTGTCGTGAGGCGTGAACGTGAAAGTGAAAGAAAAAAAGTCAGAAAAGCTCGATTTATAGTGCGACAGCAAAGAGCACATTTTATACAACTTTTTGATTTTTGCAATTCAAAAATTATTACGTGTGGTCCAGTTCCAGTCTGTCCGTGACATCATTATTAAATACTTATTATACCTTCTAGGGAAATGTATTTATAATTAGTGACTGACAGTAGTTTGTTTTTGTTATTAATTTACCATGGGTTGTTGCGATTCAAAAGAAGAAAACAAGCAGGAACATGAGGAAATCGCCGAAAGAAAATGCACCGACGTTTTTTGGTTGTGTTTATATATCCTATTTTGGTTCTTGATGGTTAGTTAACTTAACAAATTCAATGTTATTAAATTTTAATTGGTTTAAATTGTTTTAGATAATTATCGCTGCCTTTTCATTTGTTTACGGAAATCCTCTTAGGATAATCAATGGATATGACTCGTTTGGCAATACTTGCGGAACCAAGAACAAAGCTATCAATGATATGCCTTTGACAGGGCTCGATACTACAGATAAACCCTTTCTGTTGTTTTATGACGTAAAGGAATTAAATCAGTCTCTAAAAATATGCGTGAAAGAATGTCCAAACAGGGAATTAAACACACCGCAAGATTTAAATTCGTTTCATAAACAAGGAAAAGATTTGTGCAGATATGATTTTAATTACAACGAATTGACTGGATTTAAAGCGGCTTCTTTGAGCGGTTCTTTCGGCCCTTGTCCTGTTTTGCCAGTTTATGAAAGGTAAATAATTAATAACTGTTGGTTTATTATTTAAAAGTTCAGTTGATATATGTGGGAAATGGCAGGTGTATTATAAAAGAAATCTAGTGGTAATGGTAATCAAATATTTTTTAATGGGTAAAATGCATGGCTTCATTTACAAGGGTTGTTTCAAAAGTTAATCAAGTGTTAAGTTTAAATCATACTATCAGGATGTGGTAGGGTTGCTAAATTTTCTGAAAGTGAAAAGCGTGACAACCATGACGATAGAGCATTTTTATGTAATCAGGTCCATTTTTTGTGAACATTTCTAAAAAAAGGTCCTCAGCTTATTTTTCGTAAAAACGAGGGTCTTGTATAAATCCAGTTCCTCTGCGGCTTTTAAAAAGCGTGGCATTTGCATAAAAAGTGTACAAGCAAGTCAAAAGCGTGGCAAATACGTCAAAAACGTGACGTCTGGCAATCCTAGGATGTGGTCATTTCGAAGTTTTTATTTTTTATTTATTAAATGGGAAACCCCGATTACAAAATAACAACTGTATAATATGGTTATGTCAACATAAATTTAACAATTCTATAAATATACCTAGTCTTATCAAAAATAACACAAAATTCACAAGAATATTAATATACAATGGCAATATTTCAGTGCCTATAGCCTATTTAATAGTGATTATATTGCATCAAAGTATCTTTAATATTTGAAAATAGTTATTAAAAATATCCAATCTACCCTCTAACACTTTCGCTGTCCATGACATTCATTAACGTCATGATAGTTCTTTCTCCCATGCCCATGATGTTTTGTAATGTAAGATGTATGTATGCTTCGATGAATGTAGACAAGCCGCTATGTAGTGAATTGTCTTTATAACCCCGTAGGCATGTGAAAACGTTCTTAAATTAGTGTATTATGATTTTGGTTTTGATATTATGTTTGTGAATTTAACATAGCAGGGCTTTAATAGGTTCTAATTAAATTATGTACCTAATTGCTCAGTGTTTCAATGTGTGGCATAGTCACGCAAACAGGTCTTTAATAAAAGTTATATGGATTTGAAAGACACAATATAAAAATATTTTTGGATATTCAGTGTGTTACGCTTTTGCTTGGAAAGTAAAAATAAATATTTGTTAAATGGAATACTGTATTTTATCTCAGTTTTAGAATTCTTAGGGAATACTGTATTAAACCCTAGAATATTTTTAAAAAGTATTACACACAGACCCTAAATAAAATAATCAGAATTTAAGTGGCTTATCAATAAGTTGAACATTATTTAAAATACTAACGAATAGACATGATAGAACTAGTTTATTTTATACAGATGGTTTTGAAACATCTCATAAATATGGCTCGGTTTAACTTCATTTTACCCAATTTGAATGCAACACCCTGTATATCATTTTAGCATTAACTTCATTATAAATTTACCTATCTAACGATACCATCATGTTAGCCTATTATACATATAGAGGGTGTCTCATCAATGCGTAATTGACGGTAATTGATCGATAGCTGTTTTATTATTAAAGATATGAAGACATTTTTAAGTTGTAGGACCATATTATAAAATTATTCCTAAGTATACAGGAAAGTTCCTAAATGAATGGTGGAAAAACTTATACTGTTTTAAAATAAAACCCCCTTGTATAACAAATTTATTTGTTCTCACATCATCAAACAATTTTAATAGAACGTTTCTAAAAATGTTTTGACTTTCCATTTATTTGCTAAGTTGTATATTATAGGGTGTGCCAAAACGCACGATTATGATTTTCTTACTTTTTTTTCAAATGAAATGTCCTGTATGTTACACCACAAATTTAATTAACTAATAATTTGGTTTCTTTACTTTTTATTTTGTTTGTCATTTTTTTACAATGATTCATATTACTTGTAACGTCGAAGGAATAGAAAACCATTTATTAATTCTGACAAAAGGGTTACCAAAAATTACATTAGCATTTTACCCTAAATGAGGTCATATTTTCAAAAGCCAATTAGAGAAATGTGAAAAAATTATGTTAATTTTCATGTTAAAAACCGAAAAAATTCGTTTGAAAATACAATGCTAAAAAATAAAAAAAGTAAAGAAATTTATTTATTTATTTTAATTTATTGATTCAAATAGGTACACTACAGAATTATTATTCTAAATGGCACACAGAGTTAAAAAAATTAACAATAAAGACATGCATGTAGAATACCTACACAAAAATATCACATTCACAAAATCGCATACATAGAAATAGGTTTAAAAATTAAAGCTCAAAAAAAATTATTTTGAAAGTTTCAAATTACTCTTTAGCACATACAATGTTGTGTTAAATAGGTCACAGTCACATATTGTAAATGTGGCATATACGGTCAATAAACGCTCTTTGGCCATAGTTAGTTCTGTCTCCTGATAAAAAACAATGAAGTATGATGTGTACGTCGAGTAGGTGCCAAAAAGCTAATTAATTGTAAAAGGGCGCTACAGTCAATCTTACCGTTAATTAATTTAAACAGAAACAGAACTAGTGCATATCTTCTTCTGATTTCTAGGCTTTGCATACCACATTGGGAATCACATTTCTTATTTGATTGAAGTATTGTCTGGTGTTCCTCAAGGATCCCATTGTGGTCCGCTTCTTTTTAATCTATTTGTAAATGACATTGCATGTTGTATAAAAAAGTCTCAGTTCCTACTATTTGCAGATGATTTTAAAATCTTTAAAATTGTTGAAAGTATATCTGTTTGTTTTGATTTACAAACTGATATTAACAACCTTATCATTGTGGTGTAATGTAAATTGTATGAATTTGAATTTAAGTAAATGTTTTTATATTAAGTTTATTAGGTGCCATACTATTATAGACTATACTTATTGTATCAATTCATTAGATCTTGAATTGGTCACCCAAATAAAGGACCTTGGTGTAATGTTTGATGAAAAACTTACTTTTTCAGAACACATTACAATGATATAATTAAAAGCCAGAAAGTTGTTGGGTTATATACAAAGAATCTCTAATGGTCTCTCAATAAATTCTTTTAAAATTCTTTACTGCACTCTTGTTCATTCTAATATGGAATATGCAGCTGTTGTCTGGAACCCTTATTATTGTATTCACATTAATAGATTTGAAACGGTTCAACATAAGTTTCTGAGATGCTCAGCATATAAATTAGGAGTGCGTATAAATAATTACGATTATGATTATGCAGATCGGAAAACTCAATTAGATCTATGCTTCCTATTCAAAATTTTGTCTGGGTCAATATATTCTCCTGATATTTTATTAAAAATTGGTCTTAAAATTAATAGTGCAACCAGAGCTAATGAGACTTTTTTTTATTAGACACCATAGACAAAATTGCTGCTTTTATAGTCCATCAACACGATTGGTTAGGAGTGCTAACAGTATAGAAATAGACTTGGATTTTTTTGGTTCATCATATTATTATTATTATTATAATTTGATAAGAGCAGGGGCCATAAGACCCATAAGCCCATATTAACTGAATATAAAACAATATTACTAAAAACTAAATCAATAACAGGTACAACCGATGAATAAACAATGAGACAAATGAAATGTTAATTAAAAAATAGAAAATTATCAAGTTCGTTCTTGAAAACATTGACAGATGGAGCATTTACAACATTCTCCAGTAGAGAATTCCAAGTGTGGAATATTCGATTAAATAAAAAATTTTGCCTCGTTTTCGTAAAAAATTGTTCTTTTTTCAGCTTCCATTTATGGCCACGTAGTCGATTGTCACTGTCCACGATGAACATACATTTTAAATTTCCAAAATTATATTTTAAAATACGAAAACAAATTATCATGTCACCCCGCAGACTGCGATTTTCAAACGTTTGTAGTTCAGCCATATGTAGTCTCTCTGCGTAATTAGGTCTCATACGTCCGAAAAATAGTCTGGTTGATCGGCGCTGAACATTTTCAAGAATATTTTTATCCCGCACTAGTTCCGGACACCATACAGCTCCGCAGTACTCGATAATCGGACGAATGTTTAATTTATACAGCCGGATAGAATTTTGAAAAGACACTTTTGTGAATGTTTTCTTTAATAAGTACATTTTCGTGTTCGCCTTTTTTGACACTTGAAGAACGTGCTCAGACCAGCTGAGATTTTCAGTAGTTATAACACCTAGATCATTGTAAGATTTAACTTTATTTAACGTATGACCGTTTAGAAAATAATTATGACGAGGATTATTTTTACCAATATGGAGAACTACACTTTTATTTGTATTTAGAGGTAGCATCCAATCTGAGCACCAGTTATAGATGGAGTCAAGGTCATCTTGAAGCTGTTGGAAGTTCAGAGACGAGTCACTAAATATTTTAGTGTCATCTGCGTAAAAAATATTGTTGCACTTGATATGGAATTGAAGGTCACTGGCATATATTATAAATAAGAGGACCCAGAACTGATCCCTGAGGAACCCCACTCAAGACTGGTCTTTCAAATGAATGCGAATTTCCAACTTTAACACAGTACATTCTATCAGTTAAGAATGACTCGATCCATTTAAGTAAATCACCACGTATACCAAGGTGTTCTAACTTATGTAGTAATCTTTGTTTCGGCACACGATCAAAAGCTTTCGCAAAATCCAGGTAAATAATGTCTATAGGTTTTTTCCTGTCTAATGAAACTGTCCACTCATTTACACACCAAAGTAAATTGGTCATGGTTGATCGCCCTTTTACAAATCCATGTTGCTGTTTGGGAATGATTTCTTCCGCTAAGAGAAACTGAGAAACGTGCTCTGTTATTATGGATTCCATAACTTTACAGATTATGGGTGTGAGGCTGATTGGGCGGTAGTTATTAGAGTCTAGTTTGTTTCCTTTCTTGAAAATGGGTGTTACAGAAGCTGTTTTCCAGATAGAGGGTAATGTGTGTGTATTAAAAGACAAAGACATATCCTTTATTTAAAAGAAGTATTGCTAACCACTTTCTTAATGACACTTGAAAGTACTGTTATTGTCTGCCTTGTTAATCAAATGTTTTAATCATATGTTTTAATCAAATGTTTTACATGATACAATTTTTGATGTTGTTTTTTATTTTGTATTTGTGCATATAACATATATTTTTATATTTTGTATTGTAAAATGGGGTTTTCCCGTAAATAAATAAATAAACATAAAAGCAGTCTACTTTCGTAACCAACGTTTTGGTAGGGAAAGTGGTATTTAAACAGCAACTAGTTAGTGAATTTATGCTGAACTCGTTCTATCCTCTCTATGTGGCAGGTGTAATTAGGATACCATATGACAGAGCAATATTCAAGAATGCTTCTAACAAGGCTGTTAAATAATGTTAAGATTGCTTTAGTATCATACATATGTTGAGTATTTCTTTTAATAAAGCCTAGCATCTGGAAAGCTTTACAGATAATGGAATCGATATGTTCTCAAAAGGACAGTTCCATATCAAATATCACCCCTAGATCATTCACAGATGTGACATTTTGCAGTACAGATTACCGATTTTGTATTGATTTAGAGAAGGGGTTAACGTGGATGGTCTTGCATTTACTGGTATTTAATGAGAGATGGTTCACCTTGCATCATTCGTTTAGTCTCTCTAGATCACCTTGAAGGGCAGATGTTATGTGTGACTGTGCTGAAAAATTTTAAGTCATCTGCATATAGAAGACAAGTACTATTTAAATTAATTTATAAATTGGTGGTATAACACAGGATATATTTGAGAAATTGAGAATATTGTAACCTCAAGTTTAGACGCACCCTGTGTGCATCACAGCAAATAAATGAAAATGTTAAACATTTTTAGGAACGTTTAGTCTATTAAAATTATAAAAGATGTGAAAACAACAAAATCTATAAGGCGTAAATACCTACAGGGTGTTTGGTTTAAAAAACGGTATGTTTGGTTTTCCCCTCATTTATAGACTACCTTCTATATTTAAGAATAATTGTAAAATATGGTTTTACAACTTCTATATTAAATATTTCTCCGTATTTCCAATAATAAAATATCTGTCGATCAAAATTACCCACTGATGGGATACCCTGTATATGTATAATTAAAACACTGTATAAAATGAACCAATTCTTTCAACATTGCTTGGTCCTTATAAGGTGAAAAATATTCAAGTGATAAATACAGTATTATCATGCCACTCTAACTGAAATAAAATACAGGGTGTTCCATTTAAAAACATCTTTTTACTTTCCAAGCAAAACCGTAACACTCTGTATATCCAAAAATGTTTTTAAATTATATTTTTTTCAAATCCACATAACTTGTATTCAAAACATGTGTCTATAATACAAATTGAAATATCAAGCAATTATGCACTAATGGGACAGCCTGTATAGAACTACGACAAAAGTTTACGGCAGACTTCCTTTTAAACTACTCTTGGTTGTTTTGACTCTCCGCCTTGAATAATAATAATAATAATAATAATAATACTCTCCCTAATTCACCCCCTTACGAGTGAATTTCAACCCCTGAAGTCGACTGAACGACTTGTGTAGGGGAAGGGACGGCTATTATTATTATTTGCCGTGGCGCTCCGGGGCGACTTAAAGATGATTGATGGTGCCATTTGACTTACAGGTGAGGAAAACCTCACCCACCATCATCGAGACGGTAATGCATGGCGATTTTTTAATCTGCATGTCATATCTACAGAAATTGAATTTCTATTAATACGGCACACATCAAATCCTAAACCGAACCATGCAATTTAATTAAAAATCCACATGGTCCGGTCTGGGATTCGAAGCCCAGCAGTCTCAGACTTATAAACTTGCCTATAAATGAATATAAGCGCATTAGACGGCTACACTACCGACCCGACAGCCTTACCTACAAGATTTTGACATGGTGGCTGCAGCTTCATTGGCTAATTGTACCACCATTTGGATACCCTACTTCTTTCGATTTATTAATTCTTCATTTATTTCACTCCCTAGATAGGCTTCCAAGAACTCGGATCATCCATTCATGAAGTGCTTGACTACCTTGATTGATACATGAATTTATAGGTACACCGTCAGCCAGCGGCCCAGTAATATACTTCTTTGACATCAGTACTTGATATCCTATAGAGGTCTATATTCTTTTCTCTTTTTGTGATAACTTCTGTCTGTATTTATGATCACCCTATACATATAATAGCATTATTCCCCAGAATAAATTTTTAGATTTTCATTGTGTATGGCTCATGACGTTAATGAACGTCCAAACTTCTAAATGGACCAGAGCGTGTAGTTGACATTAAAGCTTGGGCAGCGAAAGCGTTAATATACTAACCAATCGAGTAATCAAAATTTATATATGTTTTAGTGATTTTTATAATTTTGTATTTCCTAAACTCAATTTAATGTTTTGTTAAATTTGTTTTGACTTTGACGTTATTGGCAGAGTATGTCTGACAATACAAAAATGTGTTCCAACACATCCAAGTTTCGAATTGGGCATTCCAAACTAAATGCCTACCAGTGGGCTTTGACGGGTTATGATATTGCAAAATTATGGCAACCCTGTAGACCTGGTGATTTGACAAAGTCAATGAAATAGATAGTTACATAGATTGATTATCCATATTTTTCAAAATAAACATAAGCGTATGCCTTGAAGTAAAAATGTAAGCAATTATTATTTTTTTTTTTTTTAATATCTAAAGGCTAAAAATTGGTTTTAAAACACATTTTTGCTAAACCGATTCAAATTAATAAATATTTGCCAGGCAATATGGCCGCTCGTAAACGACCAGCTTTGAGTAATCTATATAACTATATATGTATCATTGATCCTGTTAATGACAACATGACAACAGGGTTGCCATATCTAAATTGTCATTACCCACTGGTAGCCATTTGGACAGGTTGTTGGAATGCCTAATTGTTACAATCCTCGACAAGTCGTCGACAATAAGTTGTGGACTGGTTTATGTACGGTTTCAAGATTGTTGTTGGAACAAACCTCTAAATACTTATGAACTGTCAAATTATATTGACATGTCTTTTCAGAACTTTCAATAGATCAAATCTTTATATCAACTGGTACTTAAGTTTATCTTCAATTCGAGTACACACAGCAATTGGCTTGGTAACTTCTATTTTCACTTGGTGAATGAGATTCAGTTTTCAATAATTTTTTTTATTCATCTATTAAAATACATATGGAACTGGAAACTGTGATTTATATTACTACTTGTTGTTTTCTTTGTAATTACAAAGAAAATGTGAGGATCTTCATAAAACAATCCTCACCCATGTTCGTCTTATCCCCCTTTTATCAATCCCCTTTTTTTTAAATAATCATCACAATTTCCATAACAACAATTCATTTTTTTTATATAAAATAAATTCAATTACTACCAATTTACATATAGTGGGCGATATCTTTCCTGATACCCGTGAGCCAATCAAGAAACCATATCAACATATTTTTAAATTATAAACCATATAATGGCAATATATTTATTTGTATTATTTGTTTAGTATTCCAGTATTAAATAGATGCATTCCGAAACCAATTACTCAACTTACCAAAGATGCTATCAAAAACTTTTACATCCTTTTTAACAGTTGGAATGTAGTCGAACAAGTTTTAGGAGATTTGTACAGCACTTGGAAAGAAATTTTAGGATTAACATTTTTATCTTTAAGTAAGTAAATTTTTTTATTTTCTTTAGGCATACAAAATTCATTAACTGTATATTCAGTTCAATAAAGAACTGCAATTGTATTATATTTTAAGTAATTTTTGTTTGTGGAAAGAATTCTGAACTAATTCGTAGTTAAATTTCTCTGGTAGTGGCTTGTAAGTCCTTGTAACTTTCAACGATAGTGGCTGAAAGACTTTTTTTGAGTAGCGGGAGATTTTTTAAATATCAAGTAACTTATCTACTTAAAAAAAAAATGTTTTCCAACTGTAACAAGCAAAATCATGTGTATTTACACTGGCATTTTTGCTTGTGTATGAATTTAGTAATTCAGAATTATTTCTGTTAACAAAATACAGCTTTACCAACGTTCATACTTTTGCAAACGTTTTAATTCTATAATTGAAAATATTCCTTTAAAAAAAAATGTATTTTTCTTTTTTGTAGTTATTTCGCTTATCACAATTAGCATTTTACATTGCTTGGCACATTTGGTATCCTATATCGTAATGATAGGCTTTACTATAGCTAGCATAGGAGGCACGAGTTACTTATGGTATACTTATTTTGACCTTAAATATAATTTGGATAAAACTAAGGATTACATGGTTCTCACTGAATCAGTTCGAAACGAAACTGCCTTTCTCTATTACTCTATTATTGCAACTGTCATTACAGTAAGTATTTCAGATTAATCTAAAATAAATCCTATATATATTTTATAATAAAAATAAACAATAATTATTAATCTAGTCCAAATTGGTTTCAACAATGCATATTATAGAGACAAAGTCAATGTAATAAAGAACATAAAATATTAAAAATTATCGCCATTTTAAATGCATTTAATATACAGGTTTGGTCATATTTAATTTTCATGTACAGGAATTTTGTAAACCAGCAGGTATTAGTAAGTTAGAGACTAGTTTAATGAAATTAATAATTTAAAATACCAGAACTGACCTAGTTGATAATTTTATTTATCGCCAACTGTCAATAAAGCCATGCATTACCATAGCGATTGGCGGAAGTAAACAAACACTATCTCACTGTAAAATTTAACTATTTTATCTGCCGCTAATATTTATCAAACTAGCCATGACCGTCTGACAGAAATAGTTTGTATCAAAGAACTTCTGATGCCTGACCAATAAACCAGTTCGTAACTGTTTCTTTAAGTATTGTCAATTACGCTTTTTGTAGTATAAAAAATTAACTCATTGCAAAATAATCGAAATCGAAAAATATTTTTTGAATGATACAATGTGTTTTATTATCTACTGTGATGGGTGGCTTTAAACCAGCAAGTAATATTATAGAGAAAACAATGTAAAATGATTGGTGAGTCAAAGTCACCCTCTACCTGCGTGTGGCTTTGCACACCCATTTTTTATTTGAAAAATTAGACCATTTAAGATATTTTTGCTTAATAATTCTTAAACTATAACTGAAGACTAAATTATGGCGAAAATGCGAATTTGGATTTGCTTTCTATTGAAACTAGGTTTAAATTTTGACAGTGAGTCAAAGTCACTCGACTTTAAGGTATGAGTAATATTTTATCTAAGCATGTTTCGTTTTAATCGTTTTTTCAATCAGATAAATCTTCAGTTGTTCTCTGTGAGACAAACAATTAATGGATTAAACGACTTACCTGAAAGGAAGTTCAATCCAAATTGTACGAACTGCTGGGCCCCAATATATCCATAATATGTAGTATACTCTCGATTGATCGAAGTGTACGATTATTTCACAACATTTTTAAAGATACTAAAAATTTTTGGGTACGCCGCTGCCACATTCCATGCTTATCATCGACGACCCGAAACACCTCATTATTTTGTTGTGGTCCTAGATCGCTGATTTCTTTTGGGGTTGGTTATAAAATGGTTTTTCACAGGAGGGGAGGGAAGTGGATATATTGGGGCCCAGCAGTTCGTACAATTTGGATTGAACTTCCTTTCAGGTAGGTCGTTTAATCCATTAATTGTACTTCACTGCTGGGCCCCAATATATCCATAATATGTAGATGTTTAGAGATCGACAGCGATCCTAATCTTTTAGAGAAACGATTGATTTTTAATAAAAACTAAATATTTTGTTAAAGAGGAAAAATTATTTCAAATTGAGATTTTTTTTTTTTTGAAATTTTATGTACACGTTGTATATATTTATATATTCTTGAGCATACATCTATAGATTCAACATTGAATTCAGCTAAATTTAAACACAAAAAATCTGATGTGTCCAACACATGACTTTCCTATCTAGTTATTATAGGCATTTTCCGGTTATTTTGTACAACCTATTGCAGCATCTCTATAAATGTTTAAAGAATAAACTAAATATATACATTTTACACATACATCTACCTCGAAACATTTTTCTATAGATATTCATTGAAAACGAAAATACAGAAAAATTTAAATTTAGCACTTTTCCATTACGGTCCATTTTAGAAAAATCATGTATAAACAAAAATTATAGAAATCGATATCGCAAACAACTTTTAGTTCAACAATTTTCATAAAAATCAGAATTTTGTCAAATTTCTCGAATACGGACCATTTCAGGAAATTTTGACATAAAGCAAAAATTATAGATAATATTAGAAGTAACTTTTATTTGAACAATTTTCTTCTCCAAACATAAATAACAGATATATTCCATAAAATATAAAAACGGCCTCCCATAAAGTACCCCCCCAGATGTTCCGACTTTGTCCAAAATCTAATCATTTCACGTCAGGCCGAAATAAACCTTAAGTTTAAAATTTAATGTTTTTTCCTTTATCCGTTTTTGAGTTTTCTTCAAATTTCGAAATTTACACATTTTCTCAAATATCTCGAATACGGTCCATTTTAGAGAAATTATGTATAGAATAAAAATTATAGAGAATTATATTACAAACAACTTTTATTTGAACAATTTTTATAAAAAAAACTTTTTTTACATTTTGTCAAATTTCTCGAATACGGACCATTTTAGGAAAATTTTGCATAAAACAAAAATTATAGATAATTATATTAGAAGTAACTTTTATTTGAAGAATTTTCTTCTCCAAACGTAAATAACAGATATATTCCATAAAATATAAAAATGACCACCTATAAAGTACCCCCCCAGATGTTCCGACACTGCCCAAAATCTAATCAGCTCATTGGACGCTGAAACAAAGCTTAAGTTTAAAATTTGGTGTTTTTCTGTGTATCGGTTCATGAGTTATGCGTTATACAGACACACACACACACACACACACACACACACACACACACACACACACACACACACACACACACACACACACACACAGACACACACACAGACACACACACAGACACACACACACACACAGACATCATCGCGAAAATAGTCAAAACGGATTCAGGGGACCTCAAAACGTAAAAATCCGTCGAAAACTCGAGGTCGAAAAAAATCATGATTCCTATACTTTCCTTATATCTGTATACAGATAGGAAAGTAAAAAACGTATATTTAGTGAAACTAAATGGTTATTTTTTGTAATCCTTAAGAACTAGGTCCCCATAATTTTGAAAAACAGCTTTGTTGTAAAATTTATTGAAGTTACTGGATTTTTAGCAGCTTTTCGTATAACTTCAATGTCATGTCGAGTAATATAACCTGTTAAAAACTATGTGTCTTCGCCACTTTTTCCAGCAATCGAATGATTGTGAAGATACTAAGCGTATCAGTTATTTGACTGTTAGGAGATATTTTAGTTTATATCCTTGTCTAAGAGGATTGGTCAATTTTTGGTATTGGATTAAGGCGCAGGCTGTGCACAAAGACAGATCATCGTTAAAGAATTTAAAGACTAAAAGTGGTTGTTCTTTCCTGGGTGCTGAGCATTTCAGTTATAATGAACTCAACTTTCTCTCTCTCTCTCTCACACACGCGCACGCCCACGCCCACCCACACACACACGCCCACACACACATACGCCCACCCACACACACGCCCACCCACACACACACACGCCCACCCACACACACACGCCCACCCACACACACACGCCCACCCACACACACGCCCACCCACACACACACGCCCACCCACACACGCCCACCCACACACACACGCCCACCCACACACACACGCCCGCCCACCCACACGCACACGCCCACCCACACTAACATGCCCACCCACACGCCCACGCACACGCCCACCCACACGCACACGCCCACCCACACGCCCACGCACACGCCCACCCACACGCCCACCCACACGCACACGCCCACCCACACGCCCACGCCCACCCACACGCACACGCCCACCCACACGCACACGCCCACCCACACGCACACACACACACACACACACACACACACACACACACACACACACACAATATTTGTCAGTTGTTTTCATTTTTGAATTAACATGCAGCATTTCTTTGTTAAAGTTTTTAGAGAAAGATTTTTAGATGAGATAGAACTACACTCGTCCCAAGTAGATGTGTATTTAGGATAAGTTGGCTTTATTCGAAAAACCCCTTCCAGGAATCTTTTGATTAAAGATTCTTTCTCATTTTTAAATTTAGGAATTATTTTACCGACGTCCTAAACTTGTCAGTTTTTTGTTTCGAGCAAAAACTCCCACCACTTATTTTTATATGATGATCCATATTGTTTTGGAGTAGAGTTACTCGAATTATAGGGTTGCACGATTCTAGAGTATTATTAGAGTATTATTTCGTTAACATGCTTCCCGGATAATTTCGCTACTGCCAGGGCAAGCGTCTTGCTGAGGGGGTATTCTTCCTTAAAAGGAGACAAACGTAATTTATTTAATAATAATTCACCCCCTTACGAGTGAATTTGAACCCCTGAAGTCGACTGAACGACTTGTGTAGGGGAAGGGACGGAGATTATTATTATTATTATTATTTGCCGTGGCGCTCCGGGTCGACTTAAGGATGATTGATGGTGCCATTTGACTTACAGGTGAGGAAAATCCGGAAAACCTCACCCACCATCATCGAGACGATAATGTATGGCGATTTTATAATCTGCATGTCATATCAACAGAAATTGAATTTCCATTAATACGGCACACATCAAATCCTAAACCGAACCATGCAATTTAATTAAAAATCCACATGGTCTGGTCTGGGATTCGAAGCCCAGCAGTCTCGGACTCATAAACTCGCCTATAAATGAATATAAGCGCGATATACCGCTACACCATCGACCCGATTTTGATGGTACCAATCATGTTATTTTTGATATTGCTACTCTATTAAACAGTGGATATCATGATTGAGTTTTCCAATACGGTATAACACCACTCTACCTTCATTTATACCTTCTAGCATTTGGGGGATAACCGAAGAAGGAGGAAAAGCATAAACTTTTTTTTTGTTTCCGGTTTAGAGTAAATGCCTTTACCGCTATTGATTCAGGATACATAATATTTACATTTTTTATTTATTATGGTTGCAAATAAGTCAATTTTGTTTCTTTGTTATCTGTTGAGTTGAAGCAAAAATGAAAATGTTTCTTTTTTTTTACACCAATACCAATATCTTTTTTGTAAGGTCATTTAAATGTTTAAATTTTATGACAACCATTTTAATAATGTGTAATATGGCTGTGGTGTTTTCATTTCTTGATCAAATATTGCAGTTATACAATTTTATTTGCAAAATACTTGTGGCCATAAAAGGCTGCCAAGAGTTCTAAGTAATTAATATGTTGTTTTTGTTCAGAACAATTCCAGAACACCGATACACTCTATCCTATTTCGAAAATCCCTCACCCCGATAGGGACGCATTTGAGAAAATTTCAATTTTGCACCCCCGTTTTTTGAAGCAAACTTGAGCTTACTGTATATTATTTATCCACCATTCAATTTCTAGTACTATGTTTCCCGGTAACATGATTTAAGAATTGTACTTTTCAAACCTAAATATTTAATTCTTTCGATATTTTGTTGCAGAGCATACTGAAACGATTGTGTCTATTTTTGCTAATTCGCGTATTTTGCAATATTTTTTAACAGCTGCTGTAAAAGTTTTTGATTTTTCTATTTTTCTAGAGGTATGCTTATTGAGTGTGAGTTAAATACAAAATCTCAAATATTTGCATGTTTCAGAAGGAGCTATTGAGCTTTTTCCTTGTTAATTATAAACCCTAGATTTGTTAGCAACTCTAAAGCCAAGGTTTTATTTTCCATGCATTCGCTTTTTGTCTGACTCGTTATTAATAGGTTATCAAGCTATATAACCAATATAATATTTTTGGGTCTTAATTTGTGCATAATTTTGGTAAAAATATAAGGGGCTGAACTAAGGCCGAAGGATAAACATTGAATATTCATGAAGTATATTACTGAATTTAAACATTAACTATTTTTTGTCACTTCTTCTAGTTGGGACTAAAAATAGACACCATGCAAGTCTATTGCACACATATAACATTGCAATGTTTTTTGTACTGTTCGGTATTCTTCTAGTTTGAAATGGATTGCTATCACATATATTTATTTATTTATTTATATTAGATTGAGTAATACCTATGTTTGCCACTTGGTTTTGTCCTAAGAGAATACCTAGATACGAACTTATTTAAGCGCAATACTTAATAGCACCCTTCTTTGATAAAGTTTATATTTCAAGTTTAATTGCAGATGACTCTGTCTTTGAAAAATTTCTGTTTGGTGAGGGTTTCATTTGGATTGACTTTTTGAAAAAAAATATTTTACTGTCTTTTATGCAGTTCAAAACAAAAGTGTTGTTTGTTAAAACCCGCCATTCATTGTAATGAAATTTTAATATACCTGCAACTTGACCTATATCAGAGTTTAATTTTGGTATTGGCGTTTTGTATTTTACTCTTTGTTCTTTAACCTGTTCTGGGTCTCTTTCTTTAGTAAGGTAGTTTTCCCATCTATTTGCAATATCGTCTTTTAGATGAGTACCATCAGTGGTCTGTGTCAGCCAATCTGAGATATTAACTACCTGACCCTGGGAGCGTAGACTTAGCTTGAATCTGAGTCATCAGAAAAATTTTGATGCATTGACACAATGTCTTTTGTGAAAAAATAAGTACTATAAATCAAAATCCAATATTCATGAGCGTTAAAAACGTATACATCTCGACATCAGTCGCAATGGAAGTTGTGGTATCATTCGCATAAAGCAGGGCATATGTCTGAAAATGTTCGCATGAAGCAGAAAAAATATAATCATTCTTTTTAATAGTTGGTAGGTATTTAACTACATCTAAATCTTATTTCGTTCAATGATTGTTCGCATAAAGCAGGACAGATACCAAGTATTTTTGACTAAATCAAAATCTTATTTCGTTCAATTATCTGAAATTATTCGCATAAAGCAGGATAAACATCACATTCAATTTAATTCTAGCGTAAACGAAATAATTTTGTAGGCATGTGAATTATAAACAACAGTTTTACAACTCAAAAAAACACTCGACATTAATGGCATAAAACAGAGCAAATATTGTTTTCTATTAAAAAAATGGTCATTGTGATATCGTTCGCATAAAGCAGGACAGGTACCAAGTATTTTTGACTAAATCAAAATCTTATTTCGTTCAATGATCTGAAATTATTCGCATAAAACAGGACAAACATCAAATTCAATTTCAATTCTCCGAAATAGTTTTTTAGGCGGCAAAAAACATGATTCATGAAAGACTTTTTAGCTGTTATATACATTATTTGTACTTACTGTCTAAACTGGAGTCTGTAGTATGGTTTGTTTCCAACATGTCTTGCAGTTTTCGCATTTTTCTTTTTATTTTTCTATATTTTTCTTTGTCACATTTTTGTTTCGGCATTTATTTTCAAAAATTGATACGTACGCTTCAACACAACAAAGAATAATGAGGTGTTTCGGGTCGTCGATGATAAGCATGGAATGTGGCAGCGGCGTACCCAAAAATTTTTAGTATCTTTAAAAATGTGAAATAATCGTACACTTCGATCAATGTTATGGATATATTGGGGCCCAGCAGTGAAGTACAATTTTAAATAAATTGCGTGCATTGTGGGCATTCACATTAGGAACTTCCTTTTTCTTACCTAATAATAATATGACATCACAAATACTTACATCATTTTTTTTTTAGGTAATAATTTTATTAATAATAATTTTTATGAGAAAACAAATCGATTTTTTGGCCGATTTATTCCAAGAGACTTCCAAGTGCGTGATGCATCTGCCTCAACTGTTCCTTCAGCCCATATTGACATTTATAATACTGGTGTTATTCTATATGTTTTGGATATTTGTAGTGGTAAGTACAATTAACGATTTCTATATTACTCTGTATTTTCCTCTCCAACCACTCAACTTTAAGTCGCTTCTCCTTTTACTCCTTCCATTTTTTTAGTCTCCCCAAAATCTCGTATAAATAACTGACTCCTTTTCTCAGCTGGTTTATAGGAAATTCACGCGCTAAATAGAAAATTTTAATAAGGACCCCCACTTATATATTATTTATTATTTACAGTTGTGTTTAGCAACGGCTTCGTATCCAGAAAAACAAAAAATGAGTCCTGCCATTAACTCCAGTAATGTTTTAACAATCACATCTCCTACACAAGGTAGCCAGAGGGACATGAATTTGGAATCTTTTGCTGACAAAGTGAAAAGTAAGTTATTTATTTGTAGGTACATGTCTTTATTAAACGAAGAAAGAAATAAAGAAAGTTTTTATTCTCGTTAGAAAGATTATTCATTTTTGAACATTTAAATCTAAAACTAGTTAAAATATTAATTAAATAAAAAAATTGAAGTTAAATGTGTTCCACATCCCAACTACTCATTTATACAGTTATTAAAAATAATGTCATTTTAAAATAGTAAAATAATCGTTTAATCAATTAGTAATCGATTATCCGACTAATTAAAAAAATCGATAATAAACGATTAATAAAAACTAATCGATTATTTTAAATTTATCCATTATAGTAGAATCGCAATCGACACGGAGTAATAAATCAAAATTTTATGGGAGTTTTACAGCACAGACGGCTCAAACAAAATCTGTGATTTTAACCCATTAACGCCGGAATTTCTAAATTTTTGAAATTTAACTTTATATTACAATACACTACAATACACTACCCAATATTATTTGTCTAGATGATCTACCTAATAAAAAAGTATAAGAAAAAAATTGTCGTACTCACACCGTTTACCAGATATTGACTGTTGCCATATGGCAACGCTAGGCGCTTGCACTACCTAGTTTTGTCGGGTATATAATATTTAATTTATATTGCATATTATGACCAATCCAGTCGAGTCGTTTTAAAAAGACAAAATAAAAACTACAATGGGTAATTTACAGATTTACTAATAATAATATTAGAACAAATTGAAATTTGTGACTACCTAAAAGTAATTATTTCAAGCATGTTACCGAGTGTGAAACGTTATGAAACAATCTATACATAAGCCTACATTGCATTTTTTTCTTTTTATCTTCGGTGTGGTGCACCAAATGATCAATTCTGTCAAATCGAATATCATTGGTTATTCGACTGTCGGCCGCTGATGATGGTGAGGTTGATGGTCTTTCAGTTCTTCTTGACTGCACAGGCATACCATATTTCGATAAATATGTATTGGCTACTTCTCTTTTAAAATCTAATTGGGATGTTTTGTTCTTCTTAGATTTATTTTTTTCCACGTATGCCAATTCGGTAACAGGCCACATTTTGATCCATATGATCAGTTCCACACACAGGTTGGGTGCCGCATGAAGAAGAAATTATCGTCACTACTGCGTAATCCATCCATCTAGCATACAATAGTCCATCTTGTCTTTCAATTGCTGTTTCAATATGACCACGTTCCTTTTTTTGAAATAAACTTACCCGCCTCGATCCTCTTCTCCGGAATCCTCGTCCGTCTCTACTTTGGGATCTGAAGGCTCAACAAATATATCACCGTCGATGTCGTTGTCATATACCATCTTGAGTGCTTCAGAAAGAGGAAAACCTCTCGTAGACAAAAAATAGAGAATATAAAAATGTAGGTATTACAAGCGCCTTGTGTTGCCATATGGCAATGCCTGGATTGACACATATATTGCTATGACATTTTTGAATTAAATATTTCATTTCATGCAAGAGTATCTTTGTTTATGTGTATGAAATACTTCTGCGATAGAAAAGTTTTATAAATATAGTCCACGTCTGGTATATAGTACTTACTTGAAGCGAATGTTCGTTTTTTCACATATCACAAAATAACGTCAGAAACAAATGCACCGTACAGCTCAACTACTCTGCATTGACTAAAATTGAACAGCTTCAGTGCTTACTGCACATCTCAGCAAGCCAACCGGCATAAATACCCTACCCCTGCACTATCTCATTTGTCGCAAATATTTTCTTTAAGGTAGTTCACTCGTAAAACGGCGTTTCTTAAGAATTCAATAAAATTTAAATATATGGCTTATGAAAGTGTCGTTTACGTAACTAAAAAAAATTAGATTTTTTGACCGTCTGTGAAACGAGATATTAACAATCAAAATGTGCATAATTAACACTCTTGAAGCCTATCATGTATGCAAGCAATGCATTTATTTCAAGATATCTTGAAAACGGTTCTTACCATATTTTTTAAAAACTTATGTTAAATAAATCAAGAAATTATCAAATTTTATAAATAATCGCTGAATTTTTTGACCTTCTTAGTAAAAAGATATAGATTTTTAAAATAAAAATATTTTTAAAGCAGTTGACGAGTAGTTTCGTAAAATTATTACAACTTGGCAACATTGTAGCCACTTCACGTATCAAAGTAACACTTGATCAGCTAAGATGTTGTTATAAATTCGCGACGTGTTCTTGAAAAATGAATTCGTCCACTGTGTTTGAGAACTGGAATCAGCGGTTCTGTTTGAACCAAAACAAACCCTTAAAATTAGTATGAGGAAGTCACAAATTTCTATACCATATCGTTTAAATATTTGCGAGTTTGCCGGATGAAATTGATTAAAATTATAACTTGTCCATATGTGTTTATATACATGTGTTTTGTACAGTCTCTTACAAAAATAAAATTGACTAGCATTGAGAATCTCGAACTTTTGGTATTCACCATTACGCGATATTTTTATGTACGACTGTCGCGAGTCAACTACCTTAAGAAGACAAGTGAGGTGTTGCCATATGGCAACACTAGGCGTTAATGGGTTAAACAGCCGGCAGTTATAAGGTTTTAAGAATTTTACCTATGCCGCCAGGGTTTTGTGGAACGTAACAATATTTTAATCCCTTTTAAAACTCTGATGAGCTCACGGTTGGGTAAATTAGGGGATATTTTTTTCGTATTATTATTTTTTTGTTATTTTAAACTTAAATAATTGTAATTTAACCGTCGGGGTGCTTATTTTAGGTCCCCTCGCCACTCACCCCCTAAGGTCAATTTTTTTTTTTTTTTTTTATTTTTAGTGATAACATCAATAATTTGGTAAATTCAATATTTTCACAACTTTTTTTGACATGATCCGGTTTTGCTTGCGTTTTTGCAGTCTTGCACGCTTTTGAGCTTTTTTTGGTGGTTTAGTTTCTGGCAGCGTTAATTGGGTGGTCTCAACGCCGCGCCGTAAGACTCTACTCCTTTTTTACTAATATGATTAAAACATTTAGATATAAAATAGATATGCTTACCTACTCTCGAAGATCAGGAAACGTGAAAGTCTCTGAATCACTAGATTCACTTTATGAGTCATTATTTACTGATATTAAAAGTGGCACTGTAGTATCGACATCCAAGATTTTGTCCAGATTCCACATGTTTTCTTCTTTTACCACATGCTCGATTACCTTGCAACCAATTTTCCTTCGTAACAAGTAATATGGAGGTTTATAACAATGCTTCTACATCTTTTAACTTAAATTTCGTATTATGTATCATTTAACTTGTGCCCATATCAGTTCAATATTATTTAGTTTTCAGTGATGGGGACAAAGACGCACAACATCAGTACCATGTGTTTTTGCAAGTTCACTCACTACATATGGTACTGGAGGCTAATTTAATTTAACAATTTATAGTAGTTCTATTTTTATTGATTTTTCTGGAAAGTTAATGTTTCTGTCTGATAGCCTCTTAATGATATCATCTTTCTTCCATGAAGTATTTGGCACACGTCCAATTAGATGGGAATGGTAACTAGCGTTATCCATTACTATAACCGTTGTATGAAGAAATATAGTAGGGTAACCTTATGGACTTATCATTGGAGGACGATGGACATAGAATGTAGATGGCGATACTGTACTTATGTCCAAGTCAGGTCTTTAGGTCATGTCTGTGCTTGAGTATGAATTATAATTTAAAATCTTCTTTTTCATTTCTACTTGTCTTCGGTAATGTATTTTTATAGTTACAATTTACTATTTCAAATGATTACAAAAGCACAGAATACAGGGCATTTGAAGGTAGATGGCGTATCTGCATAGCATTAAAAATTGACTACTTCATTAAATCGTCACTAGATGCCGCTCGAGATTGCATCCAACACTTTTTACTGTTGCATTATCCTACTATATTATCTTCATACAACGCTATAACTGAACCCTTTGGTAAATATTCTATCATCTGCTGAAAATATTCTTCTAAAACATCAGCATTCATATCTTCATGGCAGTCTCCGGTTTTTTTAGATTGAAACGTTGAATGAAGATAATATAATAGGATAATGCAACAGTAAAAAGTGTTGGATGCAATCTCGAGCGCCATCTACTGACGATTTAATGAAGTAGTCAATTTTTAATGCTATGCAGATACGCCCTCTACGTCTTCTTTTCGATGAGGCACGTGGTCTCTACTATGTATCACCTACCTATTAAAGTTAAAAACATCTTTATTTAAAAATAACAATTCATGATAAAAGACATAAAAAAATTAAACATAATAATGAAAATTTATTCCAGTTGACAAAACCGTACAAATACAATTTTTGGATGAAGGTGATAAAAAGTGGTTAAGGACTTAGGTCAATATTTTGGTTATGTCAATGTATATAAACAATAACAACTAATAACAATGTCCAATGTGCAATATCCCATTGTCACGTTAGGCTACAATTTGCAATATTATTTGTTACCTTTTTGATAAATGTTAATTTCAAAACACTTATAGAGATTTTTACTAGCTCAGTGAAATTTAATATCAAACGTTACTTACCTTTAAAAATTAAAAAAAAAAAAAAAAAAAAAATGAGCACATCCTTTTCTCTGTCGTGAATTCGGCTTTTCAAATAGACAATTTTAAGGGTAGTAATCTTTCTAGGAAATGTTGGGCACCAATAATTCTCTTTTTTATTTTTAAAAGCTAGTGAGAATTATAAATTCTAGCTTTATCAATAAAAAGAAGTTAATAAAAATTACACAGAATTTAGTGAATGAAAGAGAATTTTTTGTGACCTTTAAAAAATAAGATTCAACATATACGAGTATACTTATAAAAATTAATGATTTTATTTAAAAAAAAGAAACCTTTTCGAAAACAAATTATTCACAGTTATCAGGTATCAAATTGTGATTCGTACATAAATAATTCTAGTCACTAGTAATTACCACATTTTACTTTGTTAGCTAACCACTTCTAGATAGCCATAGGTAGTTGAGAT